CAAAAATGGAGGCTCTAGACCCTTCCAGAGCTGAGATATCGAAACTCAAAATTTCGACCCGAAAAAAAAAACGACAGTGTTACCCCTTACGTTTTTTTCAGTTTTTGGGCGAAAAATCAAGTTTCTCCAATCTTCTCAAAACTCTGGATTATGATAGAGGGCCGCGAGACTTTGACCTGAGCGCAAAAATGGAGGCTCTAGACCCTTCCAGAGCTGAGATATCGAAACTCAAAATTTCGACCCGAAAAAAAACCGACAGTGTTACCCCTTACGTTTTTTTCAGTTTTCGGGCGAAAAATCAAGTTTCTCCAATCTTCTCAAAACTCTGGATTATGATAGAGGGCCGCGAGACTTTGACCTGAGCGCAAAAATGGAGGCTCTAGACCCTTCCAGAGCTGAGATATCGAAACTCAAAATTTCGACCCGAAAAAAAAAACGACAGTGTTACCCCTTACGTTTTTTTCAGTTTTCGGGCGAAAAATCAAGTTTCTCCAATCTTCTCAAAACTCTGGATTATGATAGAGGGCCGCGAGACTTTGACCTGAGCGCAAAAATGGAGGCTCTAGACCCTTCCAGAGCTGAGATATCGAAACTCAAAATTTCGACCCGAAAAAAAAACGACAGTGTTACCCCTTACGTTTTTTTTCAGTTTTCGGGCGAAAAATCAAGTTTCTCCAATCTTCTCAAAACTCTGGATTATGATAGAGGGCCGCGAGACTTTGACCTGAGCGCAAAAATGGAGGCTCTAGACCCTTCCAGAGCTGAGATATCGAAACTCAAAATTTCGACCCGAAAAAAAAACGACAGTGTTACCCCTTACGTTTTTTTCAGTTTTCGGGCGAAAAATCAAGTTTCTCCAATCTTCTCAAAACTCTGGATTATGATAGAGGGCCGCGAGACTTTGACCTGAGCGCAAAAATGGAGGCTCTAGACCCTTCCAGAGCTGAGATATCGAAACTCAAAATTTCGACCCGAAAAAAAAAACGACAGTGTTACCCCTTACGTTTTTTTCAGTTTTCGGGCGAAAAATCAAGTTTCTCCAATCTTCTCAAAACTCTGGATTATGATAGAGGGCCGCGAGACTTTGACCTGAGCGCAAAAATGGAGGCTCTAGACCCTTCCAGAGCTGAGATATCGAAACTCAAAATTTCGACCCGAAAAAAAAACGACAGTGTTACCCCTTACGTTTTTTTCAGTTTTCGGGCGAAAAATCAAGTTTCTCCAATCTTCTCAAAACTCTGGATTATGATAGAGGGCCGCGAGACTTTGACCTGAGCGCAAAAATGGAGGCTCTAGACCCTTCCAGAGCTGAGATATCGAAACTCAAAATTTCGACCCGAAAAAAAAACGACAGTGTTACCCCTTACGTTTTTTTTCAGTTTTCGGGCGAAAAATCAAGTTTCTCCAATCTTCTCAAAACTCTGGATTATGATAGAGGGCCGCGAGACTTTGACCTGAGCGCAAAAATGGAGGCTCTAGACCCTTCCAGAGCTGAGATATCGAAACTCAAAATTTCGACCCGAAAAAAAAAACGACAGTGTTACCCCTTACGTTTTTTTCAGTTTTCGGGCGAAAAATCAAGTTTCTCCAATCTTCTCAAAACTCTGGATTATGATAGAGGGCCGCGAGACTTTGACCTGAGCGCAAAAATGGAGGCTCTAGACCCTTCCAGAGCTGAGATATCGAAACTCAAAATTTCGACCCGAAAAAAAAACGACAGTGTTACCCCTTACGTTTTTTTCAGTTTTCGGGCGAAAAATCAAGTTTCTCCAATCTTCTCAAAACTCTGGATTATGATAGAGGGCCGCGAGACTTTGACCTGAGCGCAAAAATGGAGGCTCTAGACCCTTCCAGAGCTGAGATATCGAAACTCAAAATTTCGACCCGAAAAAAAAAACGACAGTGTTACCCCTTACGTTTTTTTCAGTTTTCGGGCGAAAAATCAAGTTTCTCCAATCTTCTCAAAACTCTGGATTATGATAGAGGGCCGCGAGACTTTGACCTGAGCGCAAAAATGGAGGCTCTAGACCCTTCCAGAGCTGAGATATCGAAACTCAAAATTTCGACCCGAAAAAAAAACGACAGTGTTACCCCTTACGTTTTTTTCAGTTTTCGGGCGAAAAATCAAGTTTCTCCAATCTTCTCAAAACTCTGGATTATGATAGAGGGCCGCGAGACTTTGACCTGAGCGCAAAAATGGAGGCTCTAGACCCTTCCAGAGCTGAGATATCGAAACTCAAAATTTCGACCCGAAAAAAAAACGACAGTGTTACCCCTTACGTTTTTTTTCAGTTTTCGGGCGAAAAATCAAGTTTCTCCAATCTTCTCAAAACTCTGGATTATGATAGAGGGCCGCGAGACTTTGACCTGAGCGCAAAAATGGAGGCTCTAGACCCTTCCAGAGCTGAGATATCGAAACTCAAAATTTCGACCCGAAAAAAAAACGACAGTGTTACCCCTTACGTTTTTTTCAGTTTTCGGGCGAAAAATCAAGTTTCTCCAATCTTCTCAAAACTCTGGATTATGATAGAGGGCCGCGAGACTTTGACCTGAGCGCAAAAATGGAGGCTCTAGACCCTTCCAGAGCTGAGATATCGAAACTCAAAATTTCGACCCGAAAAAAAAAACGACAGTGTTACCCCTTACGTTTTTTTCAGTTTTCGGGCGAAAAATCAAGTTTCTCCAATCTTCTCAAAACTCTGGATTATGATAGAGGGCCGCGAGACTTTGACCTGAGCGCAAAAATGGAGGCTCTAGACCCTTCCAGAGCTGAGATATCGAAACTCAAAATTTCGACCCGAAAAAAAAACGACAGTGTTACCCCTTACGTTTTTTTTCAGTTTTCGGGCGAAAAATCAAGTTTCTCCAATCTTCTCAAAACTCTGGATTATGATAGAGGGCCGCGAGACTTTGACCTGAGCGCAAAAATGGAGGCTCTAGACCCTTCCAGAGCTGAGATATCGAAACTCAAAATTTCGACCCGAAAAAAAAACGACAGTGTTACCCCTTACGTTTTTTTCAGTTTTCGGGCGAAAAATCAAGTTTCTCCAATCTTCTCAAAACTCTGGATTATGATAGAGGGCCGCGAGACTTTGACCTGAGCGCAAAAATGGAGGCTCTAGACCCTTCCAGAGCTGAGATATCGAAACTCAAAATTTCGACCCGAAAAAAAAAACGACAGTGTTACCCCTTACGTTTTTTTCAGTTTCGGGCGAAAAATCAAGTTTCTCCAATCTTCTCAAAACTCTGGATTATGATAGAGGGCCGCGAGACTTTGACCTGAGCGCAAAAATGGAGGCTCTAGACCCTTCCAGAGCTGAGATATCGAAACTCAAAATTTCGACCCGAAAAAAAAAACGACAGTGTTACCCCTTACGTTTTTTTCAGTTTTCGGGCGAAAAATCAAGTTTCTCCAATCTTCTCAAAACTCTGGATTATGATAGAGGGCCGCGAGACTTTGACCTGAGCGCAAAAATGGAGGCTCTAGACCCTTCCAGAGCTGAGATATCGAAACTCAAAATTTCGACCCGAAAAAAAAAAACGACAGTGTTACCCCTTACGTTTTTTTCAGTTTTCGGGCGAAAAATCAAGTTTCTCCAATCTTCTCAAAACTCTGGATTATGATAGAGGGCCGCGAGACTTTGACCTGAGTGCAAAAATGGAGGCCCTAGACCCTGCCAGAGCTGAGATATCGAAACTCAAAATTTCGACCCCAAAAAAAAACGACAGTGGTACCCCTTTCATTTTTTTTTTCGGGCGAAAAATTAAGTTTCTCCAATCTTCTCAAAACTCTGGATTCTGATAGAGGGCCATGAGACTTAAACCTGAGTGCAAAAATGGAGGCTCTAGACCCTTCCAGAGCTGAGATATCGAAACTCAAAATTTCGACCCGAAAAAAAAAACGACAGTGGTACCCCTTTCGTTTTTTTTGTTTTTTTTTGGCGAAAAATTAAGTTTCTCCAATCTTCTCAAAACTCTGGATTCTGATAGAGGGCCATGAGACTTAAACCTGAGTGCAAAAATGGAGGCTCTAGACCCTTCCAGATTTGAGATATCGAATCTCAAAATTTCGACCCGAAAAAAAAACGACAGTGGTACCCCTTTCGTTTTTTTTTTTGGGCGAAAAATGAAGTTTCTCCAATCTTCTCAAAACTCTGGATTCTGATAGAAGGCCATGAGACTTAAACCTGGGTGCAAAAATGGAGGCTCTAGATCCATTCAGAGCTGAGATATCGAATCTCAAAATTTCGACCCGAAAAAAAAATGACAGTGGTACCCCTTTCGGTTTTTTTTCGGGCGAAAAATGAAGTTTCTCCAATCTTCTCAAAACTCTGGATTCTGATAGAGGGCCATGAGACTTAAACCTGAGTGCAAAAATGGAGGCTCTAGACCCTTCCAGAGCTGAGATATCGAATCTTAAAATTTCGATCCGAAAAAAAAAAAACGACAGTGTTACCCCTTACGTTTTTTTTTTGTTTGTTTTTTCGGGCGAAAAATGAAGTTTCTCCAATCTTCTCAAAACTCTGGATTCTGATAGAGGGCCATGAGACTTAAACCTGAGTGCAAAAATGGAGGCTCTAGACGAAATTTTGGGTCGAAATTTTGAGTTTCTCTGAACCTTCTTGAAACTCTGGATTCTGATAGAGGGCCATGCGACTTAGACCTGAGTGCAAAAATGGAGGCTCTAGACCCTTCCTGAGCTGAGATCCCTGTAGCATTATATTATCGCGGACGGTGGAATTTCGGGACGGCCCTTGGTGCCACAGACTCAGGGGCCTCTCTAAATTCATTTAAAAAAAGGAATCAGTGGAGTGGAATGCTCAGTCCATCTTACCCAAAATTTTATATTTGTATTATATTTTAACTCTTTTTTTCTATAAAAAGTTTAATATATTTAATTATAGTTTTTCCTAACCATTTATTTGCAATTGATTTTCTGGTAAAGTTCCAAGGCTTCATTATATTTGTGTAAAGACTTTAGTGAGGTGTATTTTCAGCCATGATGTTTTCCATTTTCTACAGGTTCCAGAGTTCATCCAGTTCCTCACCGTCAAAGGAGATCCACAAACGAGTGCAGAGAATCCTCAGCAGCTCTGGTCCCCGCTGCAAGCTTTCCTTTGTACGTCACCCCTGAGATTGCAACGCATGTAATGCTGTCATTCAATGCGCACGTTAACCCATGCAAACTGATTCTCCAAAACACTCATTATAGCACATGTCAGTGTTTCAAACGTCCTCCATTGATTCTGTCAGGCACTCTGTATTCTTCACATCCATTGTGTCAGGATGTGCTGCCACTGTCTTTCAGGAAGTGAACGAGGTAATCACCTTACGTGCTCATTCTTTCTGTTCGCGCGAGTCGTGGGCCGCTTAAACGCATCACCGCCCACGCCGTGTTTTGCTGGAAGACCCTGACGAGAAAGAAAAGCGAAAGAGTTCTAATTATTCTAAAGCTTCCCCAAATCCTTCCATAGAGGAAAAAAAGGAGCACATGTTCAGTGGTAGGGAGGTCTACAGGCTCATCTTTTAGAGAGGGGAGAGATTCCATAGTCGGGTGCCAAGCTCTGTGTGGCTGAAGCCCAGCTCGAGAAAGGAAATGTGTAATCCACTTCAGAGTTATCGTAAGTCGAGAAGGGCTAGGGTTTTTTTTTTTAAAAATTGTTTTAATCAAGCTCAATTGAAGATGCTTTTGTTAGTTTCACTCTTTGTTGCATTAGCAGATTTTGGAGATATTCAGCAACACTGCTTTGTGCCAACATATTGATTAAACCATTTTTTGATGGTGTTTTTAGAGAATACTTTCCACAACTTAAATATGTGTGTGTTGTCAGGATGAAGAGAGTGAGGCGGGTTCATGTGGGTCCACCCACCCACAACATGGTGACAGCTGGCTGCCGCAGGACAGGTAAACAACACCTCATTTCAGACTTTTTAGGATTTTTGGTCTAAATTGAAATTGAAAGAATCTTTCTATAATGTGTAAACTTAGTATCATACTTATATACTGTTTTGTACTAAGATACTCCTACATGTTACAAATAACATAAAATGTGTCTTCAAGGATAGAAATTGAAAATGTGAATTTGTTATAGTTGAGTTTGCAACATACAATTATTAATTTTTATTTGACTTTTAATAAAAAATTTATTTTATCTGTACTGCAGGCTAATTCCTGGGGAACCATCTGTTCATTTAGACAACGGCACATTTTGGAGTAACAGAGCGGCCGTCTACTCTGGGAAGCCTCACAGAGCTGTGTTTGAGGACAGTTTGAGCAAAATCTACAAGAACCTCTACAGAAACGCTTCACAGCCAGGACACGGTGGAGAAAGCAGCTGGACACAATGACCAAAGACATGCAACTAGTCTTTTAATGCAGTGGTTTTCAATCATGGTCCTGGAAACCCACTTTTCTGAATATCGTCCACTTGGAATTATAAGGTTCTATAAGCCCTGGAGGCTGACGAGGGCATGGCTGAATTAGAGCAGGAAGCCTCCAGGGCGGAGCAGGCTGAGGGCATGACCAGAGCGGAGCAGGACGAGGGCGTGGCTGAGCAAGCTGAGGGCGTGACCAGGGTGGAGCAGGATGTGGGCGTGGCAGAGCAGGCTGAGGGCGTGACCAGGGCAGAGCAGGACATAGACGTGACCGAACAGGCTGAGGGCGGAGCAGGACATGGACGTGGCAGAGCAGGCTGAGGGCGTGGCCAGGGCGTTGCCAGGGCGGAGCAGGATGAGGGCATTGCCAGGATGGTGAAGACCCAACTCCAAACAAGTACAAGGAAGACTGGCAGAAGAATACATACACTATCCATGAAACATAATCAAGAACCGACAAGCACAGACTGAACCAGAGAGAACTAAATACAGATAGGTGGATGATTGAGGGAGTGAGTTCAGGTGTGGAGACAAGAGGATGCTGGGAAGTCTAGTGAAGATGACGAAGACAGAATGGTGCAGTCAAAGACTTGACAATTATAGTCAGTGAATAATTTTTCAATGATTATTAAACTTTATGAATTAATTTGCTGAAGCATGTCGATTTTCTTGCAGTTCTTAAAGTCTTAAAGTGTCTTATTTTTTACCATATTAAGGCTTATAGGTCAAATATTTAACAATTTAATTAACGGGGTCTTAATTACAACAATAAACGTTTGCAAGTTATTTCAGCCATATTGAGGTCTAGAGAGAAAGCCATTTTACCCGGTCCACTTTAGCTGGAATAAGGTCCTGCTCGGATGTATTACAGTGGCTGCTTTCTGTCTAAGCAAAAGAAAGATTAAAGTATAATTTGTGCAATAATGTGTTTAAATACCCACCAAATTGATATCAAAAATGAAGATTATGCACTGGGGAAAATATTTAGACCTACCTTGCTTAATTTGAAATGTTCTAAATACATGGAAGTGCTAAAAAAAATAAATAAATAAATGTCATAGAAAGGATAAAATTTTACTTTCTAACACATGTTGAGACATTGTTACAACATTATTATTTTTTATTTAATGTTCAAATAATGTTAGAATTAGAAGGTTCTATCTGCATTTGATCCATTCCAAAAATCCCCATTTACAAATTTGAGAGGATTTTGATATTTTATGTTTAGAATACATTTAGGGACCCTGTTATTTTCATGTTTGAAAGAAACTTGTTCCCCATATAAATTTTCCTATATGTAATGCAAAAACTTTGAAGCGCAATATCTCAAAACTGCTCAGAATGCAGATAGAACCTTATAATTCCAATGGGACGTAGTGTGTGTAATCTTCTGCCAGTCTTCCTTGTACCTGCTTGGAGTTTTTGAGTAAATGTTTTGTATTGAAGCTTTGCTTCAGCCTATAAGCCTAAGATATGTTGTGTATCGCCCTTATTCAAAGGGATAGGTTACCCAAAAATAATAATTCTGTTAACATTTACGAACTCTCAAATTTTTCCAAACCTGTATACTGGTAAATGTCTTTGTTCTGCTGAACACAAAGGAAGATATTTGAAAGAATGTTTGTAATCAAGCCCAAGTCTCAGGCCCCATTGACTACCATAGATTTTTTTTTCCTACTACAGTAGTCAATGGGGCCCAAGAGCAGTTTAGTTACCAACATTCTTCAAAATATCTTACTTTGTTCAGCAGAACAAAGACATTTATACAGGTTTAAAACAACTTAAGGGTGACAAATGATAATTTAAATTTTTGGGTGAAGTATCCCTTTAAAGGGTTAGTTCACCCAAAAATGAAGATTCTGTCAGTATTTACTCGCCCTCATTTTGTTCCAAACCTCTATGTGTTTATTTGTTCTGCTGAACACAAAGGAAGATATTTGGAAGAATGTTTTAATCAAACAGATCTCATTCCCCATTGACTACCATAGTATGTATTTTTTCCTACTATGGTAGTCAATGGGGAATGAGATCTGTTTGATTAAACATTCTTCCAAATATCTTCCTTTGTGTTCAGCAGAACAAATAAACACATAGAGGTTTGGAACAACATGAGGGCGAGTAAATACTGACAGAATTTTTATTTTTGGGTGAACTAACCCTTTAAAGGGATACTCCACTTTTTTTTGGAAATATCTGGTTCTGGCAGTACCACTTTTAGCATAGCTTAGCATACATCATTGAAGTGCACAAGACCATTAGCATTTCTCAGAAAAAAAATGACCAAGTGTTTTGATATTTTTTCTATTTAAAACTTGACTCTTCTGTAGTTACATTAAGACAGATGGAAAATGTAAAGTTGTGAACTTGTGATTTTCTAGGCTGATATGACTAGGAACTATACTCTCATTCCTGCGTAATAATCAGGAAACTTCACTGCCGTACCAGGAGTGCAGCAGGCGTAATGTCATGACGCAGCGCCTGAAAATAGTCCCCAGCTTCCAACGTGACCGGGACTAAGTTTGTGTAGTCATCGCGCCTGCTGCACTCATGGTACGGCAGTAAAGTTTCTTGATTATTACACAGGAATGAGAGTAGATCAGCCTAGAAAATCGAAACTTTACATTTTCCGTCGGTCTTAATGCACTATTTAACTATAGAAGAGTCAAGTTTTAAATAGGAAAAATATAAAAACACTTTGGTAATTTTTTGGGGAGAAATGCTAATGGTCTTGTGCACTTTAATGATGTATGCTAAGCTATGCCAAAAGTGGTACTGGCAGAACCGGAGATCGGCTGAATGGATTCAAAAAAGGTAAAACTCAACAGTCTGACTCTGGGGGAGTTATAAAATGAGCCTATTTCCAAAAAAAAAAGTGTAATATCCCTTTAACATGAGCTTCATGAACTGCACAGAGGGTATCAGATAAGACATACATACATACATGCATACATACATCTTCTTCCGCTTCATCCGGGGCCGGGTCGCGGGGGCAGCAGTCTAAGCAGAGATGCTCAGACTTCCCTCTCCCTAGACACTTCCTCCAGCTCTTCTGGGGGGACACCGAGGCGTTCCCAGGCCAGCCGGGAGACATAGTCTTTCCAGCGTGTCCTAGGTCTTCCCCGGGGCCTCCGCCCAGTGGGACGTGCCCGGAACACCTCCCCAGGAAGGCGTCCAGGAGGCATCCGGAACAGATGCCCGAGCCACTTCAGCTGACCCCTCTCGATGTGGAGGAGCAGCGGCTCTACTCTGAGCTCCTCCTGAGTGACCGAGCTTCTCACCCTATCTCTAAGGAATCGCCCAGCCACCCTGCGGAGAAAGCTCATTTTGGCCGCCTGTATCCGGGATCTTGTCCTTTCGGTCATGACCCAAAGCTCATGACCATAGGTAAGCGTAGGAACGTAGATTGACCGGTAAATCGAGAGCTTTGCCTTACGGCTCAGCTCCTTCTTCACCACAACAGACCGGTTCACACTCGGCTGCAAACCTCCCCAGTGCATGCTGAAGGTCCAGGTGTGAAGGGGCCAACACGACAACATCATCCGCAAAGAGCAGAGACGAAATCGTGCGGTCCCCAAACCTGACACCCTCCGGCCCCTGGCTGCGCCTAAAAAATTCCGTCCATAAAAATTATGAACAGAACCGGCGACAAAGGGCAGCCCTGCCGGAGTCCAACATGCACTGGGAAGAAGTCTGACTTATTACCGGCAATGCGAACCAAGCTCCTGCTTCGGTCATACAGGGACCGGACAGCCCTTAGCAAAACCACATTTTGTATGTCTGTCTTATCAGATAAGACAGACATACAAAATGTGGTCCCCATGACTGAAAACCACTGATTTAAAGGACTTGCATATGCCAAATCAGGAAAGGGGGAGGGGGTGCAGGAGCTTTATATGTTATACACGTTATCTTAACTTTAATAATGGTAACATAATTAGTAAAAAGGAAAGAAAAACAGCAGTACTTTTGGTTTGAACGTGATTTATTGTGAATCCACAGTCAGAGAGGAGTAATCGGGAGTAATCAAGTCTTTCATTCAATCGCAATCCAGTTAAGGAAAAACTTTAAAAAGTATAAAATATTTTTTCTCTGTACAAGTAGCCTTTTCAATCTGCTGAATTTAATTGCTGTATATTTACAAAGGCCAGTTTGGGCATGTGTGGTATATATAATTCACATATATAAACCTATGTCTTGTGTAAAAAAAAAAAAAAAAAAAAAAAAAAAAAGACAGGAGAAAAAAAAAAAATCAGACTTGCCTTGTGAAATTATTTATTCATTTTCTTTTTATGGAACTTGTGCTTTTTGTTCATCTTACCAGCAGCCTGTGCTGCTTTTTCTGTCATGATCTCTTGATATTTCCTTTTGTTATAGCTAAAAGAGAATAAAATATGTTTTAGAACTTTTAATTTAATTAATTAATTTATTACATTCTAATCAGCCACAGTTTCTTTAACTTACCTTCTAAACTCTGCATCAGCAAGAAGCTCCTCCACAATGGTTCTTTTCCTTTGTTTCTTGGGGATTCGTGAATTATAAAAGTCTACTGGGCTGTCAACCACTGTACCAACCTGAAAAAAAAGGGCTAAACTTTACTCAAGAGAACAGAACAATATGGCATTGTCTGCTTTCTTTAATCAGGCATGCCTGTGGTTAATTGCAATGTCAGCATTTTGATTACACTACAATTCTCAATTTTTGTTTTTACATTTTTTTGTCTCAGAAATAATGGCTTTTTGAAAAATAGTTTGAAGGGAAAAGTTTGCAGATAAAAACTCCCAAACCGACCTGAAAGTATTTGGGAAATCCGTCTCTATCGTTCTTCTTGTAGAAGCGCTTTGGGTCCATGGCCGAGCGCATCTGCTGAGCCTTCAGGTCATTTTTGAGCTCTTCTGTTAATTCAGGAGCTTTCATGTTGAACCAGCCATCGCCAGATGTCTTTTCTCTTTCCGCCTGGATGAGACACATAAGATATTGCTTGTAAACAATGTGATCAAAAGCATGGAAATTACAAACAATTTTCAACACTATAGCTATAACAATCTAAGTGAAAACACAGACATCATATCCTGAGTATTTAAGGTTTAAAGTGGCATATAACACTACTATTCAAGAGTTTGGAGTCTATTATGAAAGACTCTTACAAATCACCATGGCTGCCTTTACTACATAAACAAAACAAAAAAAAAACACAATATATTTTAAAATACACACAAAAAACAACATCCATTACTCCAGACCTCAGTGTTACGTGACCTTTCAGAATTCTGTTTATGCTGATTTGGTGCTCAAGAAACATTTCTTATTATCAATGTCGAAAAACCATCATGCTGCATAACATTTTTGTGGAAAGAATTTTTAGGCTTCTTTGACGAATAGAAATTTAGTTTTAGAAATAAATCTTTCGTAACATTATACATATTCAACAGGATCATCCATTTCAGAACTGGTCTGCTCACCTTGCGCTTGAGTTTCGCAGAATGCTTTGATTCCTTGTAAGGTGGCACAGCATCTTTCTTCTCAAAATCAGGAACAATAACACTCTTCTTCAGCAACTACACAAATACAACACGTTTCATGCCTTCACTGAACAGTAACATCTTCACAAAATGCTTTTAAATGTCAAATAAAGAATGTTTCATCCAAGATAATTAATGATAAAATAAACTTTAATTACCTCATCCGGATTGTTCAGGTTCTTCTGGGTTTGCGAATTGTTGAAAGGATTCTTTGGCGTGTTACCATCAAAACTGATGTACAAACCACCAAGTTCCTTCATTTTCAGACCTGGGTCAATGGAACTTGATAGATGTATCCTGAGAGAGAGAGAGAGAATATAAATATTACATTTATATATTTAATGAAGAGCTCTAAATATTTAGATTCACATTTAAACAACCATCAACTCAAACACGCTCGATATGCAAGAACCAATGAGGTTTATTCTGATGTGTTATGCAGCACGTGTGAGCTTTAACAAGAGGTTTGTACTCACGCGTCAAGCAGGTTCGGTTGAGCTTGTTTGTTCAATGTATAAATGCGAATAAAAGCCTAAATTCAATCTGTTCATCATATAAAGCGATCGTGTCTCTTCAGAAATTCAGAACTAAACCACTTAATTCATATGGATTAGTTGATGGAACTTATTAAAGCGTCAAATTGTCAGTTGCACTGCTTTCAATGAAGGGATACAAAGCTCTCAGATTTAATCAAAAAGATCTTCGTTTGTGTTCCAAAGACAAACGAAAGTCTTACGGGTTTAGAACGATTAATGACAGAATTATAGTTTATAAAACCTTTAAGAGGTTTTAATATGTACAAGTCAATACTATTAAAAAAGCAGCAATAAACATAACTTACAGAGGCTTTTTGGGAGCAAAGAGCACTTTTGAATCGTCGTCATCATCATCATCTCCCTCTTCATCAACGAAATCATCCTCATCCTCTTCCTTAGTTTGCTTTTTATCAATATAGTACTGTTCTTTAGGCTGTAGCCCAGGTCTAGTGTCTATGACAAAAAGTCCGTTACCATGAGCCTCTGCTTCTTCCGACATCTGATTTTCCTCAGGGCAGATCACATCTTCACTCTCCACATCTACAGCTTCCTGTGAACAACCCTCCTCTGAAGACAGACCTTCATCAGCACTGTCTTCATCCTCACTGCTGTCGAGTAAACTGATCATTTGTTTCTGGGGAGGCAGTTCCTCTGTGGTGGTCAAATATGCTTGAGAATGTGAGCTTGTAGAAGGGCCTTCAAGGTCCTTCAATGTTACAGAGTCATCCTCAGTTGTCTTGGTGTCATTAGCTTCCTCACTAACTATTACACCTTTCTTCTCACACTCAGCGATTTCCTCATGCTCCTCAACCACATATGGTATAAGATCTTTTGGGGCGTCTTCTACTCTATCCTTCGTCACAGGTTCAGAACATGTCTGATCTTCAATAATCTTCTCAACCACAGCTGGTTCAGGATCTTCTGTTTCCACCGTATCCTCTGTCACAGGTTCAGAACCTCTCTGATCCTCAATGTTCTCAACCACAGCCGGTACAGGATCTTCTGCGACTGTTTCTACCATATCCTCCGTCACAGGTTCAGAACATTTCTGATCCTCAATGATCTTCTCAACCACAACTAGTACAGGACCTTCAGCGGCTGCTTCTACCATATCCTTCTCCACAGGCTCAGTACATGTTTGATCAACATGGCTTGTTTCCACAAACTCTGGTTCATTATTTTCCATGTAAACATCTGGTTCTTTATCTTCAATTAGTGTAGCAGACGTTTCAGCCACTGGTTCTTCCTGAGGCTTCAGAGTTTCAGTTTCACAGTCCTCCACTGGCTTGTCAACAGGCTCATCCTGATCAAGAATTACAGTGGTATCTTCAGCTTTCTCCTCAATCATGGTGCACTCTTGGACTTCACTGGTGTCTGTGGTCATGGTGCTGTCCAGTTGATCTAATGTGTCTTCAGCCTTATCTCCATCAGGTACTGGTACACTTTCATGAAGTTCAAGTTCCTCACCCTCTTTCTGTTCCTCAGGCATGGCAGTAGCAGTGTCAACAGCATTAGAAGTCAATCGTGCTTTTCTTGTCCTGGTTACAGGAACCGCACGGGCACTACTGGAAGACCCAGTTCGGCTACTACAAGGAGTCCCTCTTCCTCTTTGAGGGCTTGGGCTCCCCTGAGAGGTGCAAACGTCAGTAGCTACTGATTCTGAATCTGATTCACCAACCAGAATGTTGCGTTTGGGCTGACGCCTTGTGGCTCTCCAGGGACTCATACTGGGACCGGACTTGCATGCATCAGAATCGTATTCGTCTTCAACTACTGTTTTGCAACTACGACCTCTCAGCTTCCTGGGCATTGGAGAAGATGGGGGGTCTGTGGTTTCCTCTAAACTCAAAGGGATTGGCTCGATTAGTTTTACCTTCTGGTTTCGTGCAGATCTGCGGACCACAGAGCCGTGAAGGCCGGAAACACTGGAGGAGCATGACTCCGCTTCAGATGGATCTGCTTCAGTGGTGCGAACAGCAGTCTTCCGATGGCTTCTCGTTATCCGACGAGTGTCAGTAACTTTTGTGAGGGATACAGCAGAACTACAGGACTCGGCACCTGAGAGCTCATCATCTACCTTTTCAGCATCCTTTGAGGCCGTTGAAGTCAGAACACGTTTCCTCAAGCTGCGAGGGGCTCTACGAGAATTGGTTTCAGACACCGTGGATTCGGCTTCGGATAACTCATCCTGTGCAATGCGCTTCTCCACGACCACAGTACTCCGTCGGGTTCTAGGTGCTTGCACATCAGAAACTACAGAGCAGCAGGATTCTGACTCAGACACATCAGCTTCATGGGTAGAGTCGGGTTGTTTTTTGTCAGCAAGGATACGTAGAGATCTTCTTGTGTCTCGCTTGGGTTTACTTGCTGCTAAGGAAGAGGCAGCACTGTCGTCCTTCGGCTCATCCAGCTGGGAGTCGCTAGTTAGTTCAGACTGGGACTGGTTTTCCTCCATTAGCGTTCTGCGCCTTGTTCTTCTAGTCGAAGGAGTAGGCTGCTGTGAGAACAAGAACAATTGATTACTTGAGCATTTCTTATCAGAATAATGTAATATTTATATATACAAATGTGAGTTGATATGCACTAAAAGTCAGATATGTGTGTACATGGCTACATGAGATACTCAAAACTTGACTGGTTGATGCAAGAAAGTATGGTGAGTTGCAAGTAATACCTATCCATACCTATTACTACTTTTTAGAAATTGTTGAATAATAGGCATGTATTAATATATTAGTCAAAAATTGTAAGTATACCTGGATAATTAATACAATGAAAATAAAAAAATTAGCCACTGATCAATGAGGAATTGACAACTATCTTACAGGAGGGTGTCCAATTGATGTTTTATTAATCATCTTTAGAAATAGTCACACAAAAAGGTTTTAAATTATTGTTACCCACCAATGCTGAAAAACCTCTAAAAACTATTTTTATTGTTATTTAAATTAGTGTATAGGTAAAGGATTAGTTCACTTTAAAAAAAACTTTTGCTGGTAATTTACTCACCCCCATGTCATCCAAGATGTCCATGTCTTTCTTTCTTCAGTTGAAAAGAAATTAAAGTATTTGATGAAAACATACAAGGATTTTTCTCCCTATAATGCACTTCACTGGTAACCAAAATGGTTCAAGGTCCAAAAGACAGTTTCAGTGCAAACTGCTCAAAGGGCTTTAAAAGATTCCAGATGATTAATAAGGGTCTTTAATATCAAGCAAAACGATCACTCAATAAAAAAAAAAATACGTTTTATAAGCACAAATACTCATCTTGCTCTGTTCTGTGATGCACGTTCGTGACTCTCCTGTTTGAACTCTTTCATCAAAACGAACAAATCTTTTTCCGAGACAATTCGTTCATTTCGTTAGTTAAATGAACCAAATTACACAAAAAAAGATTTGTTCATTTTGATAAATAGGTATAGGTAATAGGTATGGATAAACAATTTCTAACAGTAGTCACGAACGCGCATCACAGAACAGAGGAAGGTGAGCGTTTGTGCTTATAAAACGTAAACCTTTTTTATTTATTTTTTTAAATGAGCGCTTGATAAGACCCTTATTCCACTGAAACGGTCTTGAACCGTTTGGTTACCAGTAAAGTGCATTGTAAGGAGAAAAATCCTGGAATGTTTTCATCAAAAACATTAATTTCTTTTCGACTGAAGAAAGAAAAAAATGGACATCTTGGATGACATGGGGGTGAGTAAATTATCGGCAATTGTTTTTTTTGTTTGTTTGTTTCTTTGGGTTTTTTTTTTTGTAAAAGTGAACTAAGTTAGTCCTTTAAGAGTAACGTTACTGTTTAACAACTTTATAACAGGAACACCACACGTGGCTAGTTATGTTGATCCAATCATGACCCATCTCCAGTTCAACGCTACAGAGTACGACTGTTTAATTGTTTAGTCGAGAAAGAACGCAAAATAGACTATACAAAATACAGAGAACGGACAACATTTTATATTCTAAGTAATATGAACAAGTTTTCTACAGCTGCTCAGGCATGTATGGACACATGCGGCGATTGATTTTGCATGAAAGTCACTGTTATAAAGCACTACAGTTACAAACACACGCTGATACTTTCGGACAACATGTAAACTAAATGGATAAACTATTCAAGAACCTTACATACCGTGGCTCCAGAGTTTCCATCGCTACTATTTTTCATAGGGGAGCCCACGCGCGTTCCTCTCCTGGTGGCCACCATCTTGCTAATGGAGCTGTGCGCGCACTTCCGCCTGCGAATCACGTCATCTGAATGCGCAGACCAGACTAATCGATGCAAGAAAGTATGGTGAGTTGCAAATAATGATATGGATCTGTGTCTTGGTTTAACCTTCTAACCGAATAATGATACTTGATAGACACTATTACTATTGTGATCTTGATAGACACTATTACTATTGTGATCTTGATAGACACTATAATAGGTTATGTCACTAGACACTAGAATAGACATTCAAACACTATAATAAAAATATCTAACTTAAATGTCAAAAAAAAAAAATATTTTGCCACTGTATGAGAATCCAAAATAAAACAGAAATAAATGAAACCCCAGTGCCAGTCCATGTTAATTTTCAATTTCCAAGTTTATAAACCAAATTAAATATGTTTAACACACAAATAGGGATTACAGTCATTTGAAAATAGTAATTGTATGATGCAACTCTTATATAATTGGATCCAAAAGGAATTACAATGAATAAATAACACAGGTAAAAATATATATTCTGACTATCCGTTAGATACTGGAACTATAATCATTAATTTTCTTCAAGTGTGGAATTTTCCAGTGTTTTTATATACAATGAATTAATGCCGTTCATGCCATGCATGTTACCAGCATCCCATACAGTTACATATTTGAACATTCTTTTACCTCAGATAAGCAAAGCATTTCATTTACAAAAGGGTGCAAAACAGAATCATCCATTGACAACAGGCAACATCTATTGAACACTCCATGCCAAGCAACAGTCAAAATAAATTATACAAACTTAAAATGGCAGCAAGATTTAAAATTTGACATTTAAAATTAAAGTAAAAAAAAATCTAAAACTATGTGGCCCACTCGTTTAAAAAAAATGGGGGTAAACATTTTATAATAAAATTGAAAAAATTATCCAAGGTGTACCTCTTCTACAAATCTTTTTGAAAATAAGTGCCTCTGCCCATGTACTTGTAAAATTAAAAAAAAAAAAAAAACCTTTTGGAATTTGAAACTCCTTAATCTGCCATCCCATTGTTTTACATAAAATTTTTACCCTTTGGATAAACATTGGGAATTCAACCTGGTCCAGTCAGGAAAAAGAGGCACATTTATCTACAAGAACAGATAGCCGTCTTAATATTGAGGAAATGAATTTTTACTCCTTGGAAAATTCAAATTCACTTTAGTGTTGAGAAAACCCTTTGTAAAATATGCATAAGTGATTTAGCTCCCTAAATTAAGTGGAATACATTTCAGGAAACCCCAAAAACCTGTTCAAGCAGGACATGTTAATGGTCGCTGCTCTTTTTAGCATGAACAATGTAGCCCTTTGCTTTTATGATGCCTCTGCTCTTGACGATGATGGAGTACCGCAAGACCCACTCCAGCCTCCAGTCGGCCACCTTCAGGTCCTTACTGCTCCCTTGGACTGCTTCCTGGAAGCCTGCAGCACTGATTAGCTCTAGACACAAAAAGAAAGATTGGGAACATTAGATTTCCTTCACTCAGAATTACATGGCAGAACCAGTTCATGCACGCAGTCATTGGCTCAGTGATACACACCTTTGGGGTCATTGTGCGTTAGCAACTGAATGTCAAACTCTTTAGCAAATGCAGTGAGGTCTGGAGGCATCACACAGCACGAGGCCAGATTCACCTGATTACTGCTCGGCTTTATCTGCATAGCATGAAAGAGTACATATTTATTTTTAAATCACTTTTCGAATCAATTTTTTATCACAAAATACACACTCAAAGCAGACCTGAGCCCAGTTATAGAGCTCCTCTAGGAGGGTTTTGTCCAAGTCCGACGTGCCGATGGCAGCAATTTTCTGGCTTTCCACGAGACTCTCCAGCTCTTCCCACAGCGGCTGAAGGTGAGTCAGCGTCTGTGCCTCACCCTCAGGGAGAGGAGGTGGAGCAATGATCACAGAGTCCAACTGAGTTACGCCTAACGAAGAACAAGCTGAACGGAGGGGGATTAGTCAAATTATCCAAAATTAATATGCACACTACTGTTCAAAAGTTTGGATGCATTAATATTTTTTTTTTAACATGGATAATAAGAAATGTTTCTTGAGCAGCAAATTAGCATATTAGAATGATTTCTGAAGGATCATGTGATACCAAGAGTGGTGAAATGATGCTGAAAATTCATTTACATTTTAAACTTACTTTTTTACTTTTTTTAGCCCTTAAATGCATTTTGTTGTATATTTGGAGTGTTTATAAGTACAGAATAGATGAAAATATTCTTTTCAGGTGCTTCGTTTATATCTTTATATTCTGTTTTGGTCATATTTTTCAACCTGTTCAGATTTTTCTGTTCTCTATGACGTTTTTTGAACAATTACGTCACAGTATTTGCAGCGGAACTGACAAATAAGGACATTGACTACCGGCCCAACACTTCGAGCAATCCGCCATTATTATTTCTCGCTCCGATTTTGTAGTCCAAGCTCAACGATGCAGAAGTTACGAGAGGGCAAGTCAAAATGTTCGGATGTTGGATGGTAGTGACCTGAAGCACTTCAAGGATTCCAACTTCAACAACCTCTGCCAGTATAAAGAAGGGTTTGCCCATCGACTTCGTCTGAATGAGGGGTAAATCCCTTCTATCTTTGGAGACGACGAACAGAGCATTTCGATATGCTGTAAGTATCGTTAATAAAAATAAAGTTCTTTACTTTCTTAAAACACATGGTGATCATGGTTAAGCAGTCCCTTTGTGTTGTGTTACATAGGTATATAACAGGAAGTGAGACTGGAATTGCTGACTCCTCATTTAAGCAGTTCAAAATCGATTCTTTCTTTTAGGAGGCAATAATCTTATTTGTGGTGCAGTTTGATCTTTAAAAAATTGACCTTTCATTCACAAATAGCTATTTTACACGCTGCATGAAAGGTAATATTCAAAAGAGCGCACTCTAAATTTTCATTTAGTCTTTTGAAATTTTCTTTCAAACGTCAGTTAGTTTGGAGTAAGAAACTCACCATTATCCATAATCAGTTTTACCCATCAAACATATGAATAATAATAGTGTATAGGCTAGCTCATCATATTAAGCAGAACTTACCCATGTCTACAGCACTTCTAATTGATGAGCAGAGTGACTCAGTGAGAAAAAGCTTGACTGTAAAGACAAACATAAACATATTTACTAACATGCACAAGCATGGCAACAGCGATACACTGTCTGAACGCACTAAGGAGCAGTAATCCTCACCAGACACCTTCAGCTCCTCTCTCTCCTCTGGGGTGATGGCCTCAGTGTTTTCTGGAATGGTGCAGTCCATAACAATGGGAAGCTCCTGAGGAAGAAAAACAGCAGTTACTGAATTGCACAACTATGCTTCCATGGAAAGTATCCAGTCACTTACTGGATTATGCATTATAGTTGCATAATTTTTTGGCACTCGTGTCTATGAAGCTCCCCGGTCACTTTATTTTACATGTGAGAACATTAGACACCTTGTTAATGGACTGCATGAAAGGAATGCGTCAATAATAAGCCTCAGCTTTTGTGTGCTAAGACCTTTACTCTCTACTCACTGAGCAGAATAAGCCAGAGCAGAGGCACACCGGCCCCATGCCATGAACAATCACCATAACAACTCTTTTCATCCTAGTCACTATATATGCTTTACTAGTACAATGAGACCGACGTTTTGCTTTCCCACAATCCACAGAGTGCTCAACTGTTTGTTCAGTGATGAGTCTGACAACATTTTGGCTACTTCTTCATGCAATCGAACTCTTTAATATGTCAAAGATGACATATGTTTAGTTTAGAATGGCTTGTTTACAATTTCTTAAGGTTTCGTTTTTCACTTTCATAATAAGTGCCATGCGAGGTCTTACCGAGTCAAGTGATGACGGCATTGCGGCAAACCACTCGCTTAGTGTGCCTTGGATGCAGTCTTGAAGCTGTGGATTGAGTCAGACAACATTGCAAAAAATGTCAACCAAGGACAGGCAACAAACCAAATATTTTGAAACATAAAAAAAAAAAAACATCTTGGCAACTTCCCTTTCTGAATCATTTCTCAATATTTGAGAAAATTGACATTTACATCTTTAATGCTAACTATTGGGTGTTTCTCCAAAGTAAACACAGTTGTACATACTGGTACTAAGTTTTGGCCCTGTAGGCTTTAGGCATAATATAAATTAGAGCCAGACCGATATATCGGCAGACCGATATTATCGGCCGATATTAGGCATTTTCCAAACTATCGGTATCGGCAGTTATAATGGCCGATAAATGAATATTTCAAAAATAAAATAAAAATGGACGAAACATGCTTGAACCATGTCACGAGTGTTGGAGTTGTATAGTTTGTCCACCAGAGGGCACTCTACACCGTTCCTGTTGGCAACACTCGTTGAGTTGGTCACGATACATACATTGCTTGAATAACAATTAAAAGAACATCCCCATCAGTTCTCTTAACTCAAATAAGCATGACAAAATTTGTGACTAATCATCTCCAGTTTAAAATAAATAAACAAAATATCGGCCGATATATCGGTATATCGGATTTTAAAACCCAAAAATATTTGTATCGGTATCGGCCTTCAAAATCCTTTATCAGTCGGGCTCTAATATAAATTATTAGCTAATAGTAATATTTTATGATGGTTTTTCATATTCAGTAATCATATTTTTAAATATATTGTTTAATTCTGAATTAATTTAATTAATAAAAATTAAAACCATTTAATGAAATTCAAAAATCTAAATAATAATTTAAAAAAAACATATATATATATATATATATATATTAGCATATTATCATATAGCTACATTACTAAATCCACTTGTGTGGGCATGATGAATAAAGCCTAATTTTTATGATGGGATGTCAGGAAGGGTTTGGCCAGTATATAAAAATGCACAGTAATTTGTCTGTCATCTGTTGAGATTAAAGACATGACTCAGAAAATTCACATCAGTACAATATTGTTTACACATGTAGGCCTACTTCATTGCAGCATGTCGGGTCAGGTCATGCCACATACTGTACACTTTCTCTAATAGGTCTATAAATTAGTGTTATTAGGCAGAATCATTGCTTGTGTGCACAACTACTACTCACAGCCACAATGGTTGTTTGAATTATATATAGAAATTCACAGCACCATGACTTGAAAGAGTATACATACATACATACATACGAGAGAGAGAAACTCACAGTATAGTACACAAACATTAACATTACATTAAGAGATGCCAGAACAAAGACATGATAATTTGAATTTTTATGCAACAGTGAGATGCTGTTGGCCAAATGGCTTAAGCCACATTTTGCATAGTTGTTTCCTGTCATGAACAGCACGAGGCAAACTAGTCAGTGACGTCATTAATGGAAGCGGACCAAAGATCACATATTCGTTCATGTGAGCCGATTCTTTTAACAATAATTTGATCGAAACGATTCGCATCGAAAAGATCGAAAAGATTTCCACTGTAGATGGGTGTCATGTTGGAGCCACACACAAACAAACATAGCTTATAGTTTTGTAGTTTATAGTTCATAGGTTACAGTTTTTCCGAGCAGGTATAAAAATATATCGATGGAAATAAAAATTAGGTTAATCATAACAGCATCCAACAACAAAACAAATGTTACCCAAATGATACCCATAATTTAGAATGCATATTAAAAATCTACACATTTAACCATATTTACTTGTAAAAAATTGTTCGTAAATGGCAGCTGTGTGAAGAACACACTAAATAAAATAAATCTTTGAACCGGTTCGGCAAACTGAACCGTTCGAAGGAGCCGATGTACAAAAAAGAATCGGACTTCCAACACCAACGACGACCGTATTTACATAAATAGTGGGGGTGACCGTGGTTAAACTCATTGACCGAATAACATCATACTACAAAACATGTCAGGCCTTCTGCCAAGGTGGACCAAGATACACTATAAGGCTAAGCACTGCAAACACTTGTCACTTACCTCCTCACTAGGCGAAGACGGACATTTCTTCTTAAGTCGACTGCGATTGACTAAATTTCCTGTGTGAAGCTTCAGGGTTGTTGCGTGGTTAAAAAGCCGTTTCGCGTTTACATGAGACTCCATTACTCTGTAAAAATCGGTGACTGGAAAAAAGTGTTGTCTGTATGAAACTATTAACCACAAAGTGCCCTCGGGTAACGTTACAGTGTTTCCTTTGCTCTCGCGCACACTAAACAGTGTAGTATGACTATGCACTTGTAGTTCATTCAATTTCAAGTAGAGACGACGTTAGAGCAGAGAGACTGCCCACAATGAGAATATGGATGCGTTACTCTGGAAAACCTGGTGAGGATCAACCGGAGGTGGATTGGACGAGTCATTTACAGCAACTTTCAACCTTTTTGACGTTTAGGCCCCCCATTGTCCAACACTATATTCAAAGGGTCCCCCATGTAGGCTGATCTTTCCTCTGGCACTTCTGTAGTAATTATAACCAACCTTTGGTTTCTTTATTAACAGAAACCAAGAGTGAAACATGAATCCCAAGTGGTGTCTTTTCATATTTATACACTGCACAAAGAAATATATATTTAAAAAAAACATTTTGCATTATCTTTAATATACTTATTTTGAATAATGGTAATAAGTATATAATTTAAAGTCATTTTACAGCCAGGATGCCCCACCCCCTGGTTGAGATCTTGATATTTTGTCATTATGACACAGCAGAAATTATTCAGGTCAACTCAAGTCAGATTTATTTATAAAGCAACACAATATACAAAGATTTTTTTAGAGCAGCTTTTAAAAAGAAAATAATGCACCCTTCATCAAATATGAGAAGTCATTTCCAGTTTTGTTATCGTCCAATATAGTGTCAGTGCACGCAAATCGATAATATGGTTATCGGTTATGATAATAATGGTCACGATAATATCTTCCAAACCCCAAATTATTATGTTATATATATATATTTTTTTATATATATAATTATAATTGTGCCAAGTCAGAGTCAAATTCTCTTTTTGAAACAAAATATAGCAAACAATGTGCAATTCAAGGGGTAACTTGTACATGAAGAAAGACACTGGCCGTATATAAAATGAGAGCAGCATCTCCATGTGTTTTAATTGGTGAGATTCTTACAAAGAGAACTTTACAGTATATTCAAGCAAAGTACCCCCAAAGAAAGACATTGACCGTGAGTAAAATGAGGGCATTGACATTGCAGACAGTCTTCCAGGTGTGGTCTTCCTCAATACTTGTGAGTTTCTTTTCCAGAGCCTGCCGTTCCTCCTCACTTATCGGTTGTTTAGCCACATTGGAGAGCCCACACAGCCACATTCCAGCACGCTTCCACCATGCAGGTGTGTCCTCATCCGACCCCTCTGACTCTGTAGTGCTGGGATCAGAGCCTGCTGGTTCAGAGCCTCTAGCCCAGGCGTCTTCCAGCTCTACACGCTCCTTCTTACTGTGTCTCGTCCACCAGGTCAAACGAACAAGCTGAAATGAAATATGAGTGTTATATTAGCTCATTTTCAGTGTGTGTTACTGCTAGAGTATCAACATAAATGATGTCCTGCTTTGTGTATATATTTATATAAATAAAATGTACATGCTTTCTTTGCTTTTTATGCTAATAAAGAAATTGAGATAGTCTTTGTTAGTGCATATTGCGTTGGTATAGATATTTTGGGCAGAACCTCCTTTTGTGGACATTAATAAAGAATAAAATGGGTTGTAAATAAATTAATTTAAAACTAAGAAAGCAAACTGTTCTTAGGTGTAGGATTAGTCTGTTATATATAATTTTCTTAATTTTAAACCAATATAAATATATGGAAATGCCCTTTTAGATCCATGGTCTTATCTACTTTTTGTAAGCGTCTTATACAAATGGATAATGTACATCAATACTGATTTGAGCAGAAACCTTTTAAAATCATACCTCTTTATAATCTATTAAGTGGACAAAACAATCGTTCTAGCAACAAGACGAACACTTCGACAAACTGTAGACCTACTATTAATACTAATGCAGTATTGTTGTAGTTTAAACAGGGTTACTGTTTCTGTACAAAACATGTACAGTAATTGAAATAAAGCTGAAATAAAATAAAATGTAAATTTTAGCTGAAAAACTTGAGAAATGTTATCTTGGTTAAGTTGAAGCACCATTAACTGGAAAAAAATGACTAAAACTAAAACTGAAATAAAAATAAATGAAACCTAAATAGTAATAAAACCCCCCCAAAAAACAATGGCAATGACAAAAAAAATCTGATGGCAAAGGGTGGGGATCTTTCTAAAGGCCACCGGCTTTAGGTGGGCCGAGGGGCCACCTGGAACGAGATTTTTACTGAGTGGGACCTCGACCCCGGAGCTCAATTTCAACCGAAGGGGAAGAAAAAAAGAGGATTTCAAGGGGAGCCAATGTAATAACCTGCACCGGGGCCGATACCACAGCTATGGCCTTGGCGCCGGTCATTATCAGGAAATAATGTTTTGACTGACCAATCAGAATTAATAATTTCAGACAGCAGTGTAAACAAAAATAAATATTTAAATGTGTTTGCAGTTGATAGTTACATGTTGCTCTGGAATAGGCGCAGTGCAGAGGCTGACGGCTGTAATGATCAGAGCTGTCAGTGCAAGAAGGATCAGAGCAAAATACAGGTAGTGCACATCTTTCAGCAGGGCGGGACGCAGGTCTTTCTCTCCGCATGATGGGGTGCCAAAGACAAATTCCATTACCATCCTCACTGTGCCAACTACAAGTCCCACCATCAGGCCCCAAAAAGCACCCTGTGCAAGATAAAAGAAAGCAGCTTCGCTTGGGTGTTTTACAACCTTCTTAAATGAAATGCACTGAATGTTATACGATACTTTCACTTTATTGCTAAAGCTAAAACATATTTAATTCACCTGTTCATTTACTCGCCCCCAGAAGATGGCCATAACAAACAAGGCGGTGATGGGAGGTGCCAGACAGCTAGTGATGGCTTGAATGTAGTCAAAAAGCTGTCCACTATTGGCTGTTTGAATGACAGGAATCCACACAATGCTCAGGGCCACTAGCAATAAAATGAACAACCTGTGGATATACATAAACAGGAGCAATTAGTAAGACAGCAAATAAGTCAGGAGACAAAAGCTGTTCAGTGTATATTTAAGAAAAGAATATACTTCATTACCTTCACTTTCAGTTTGCATATGAAGTATATCTAATTGATTTGAACTCTTTTGTACGTGTGCTGTGCCTTTAAGACCCCAAAACAGGTCAGCAAAACCTATACGATGTGGTTATCCACCTAGAATTGGTGGTGGATCAGATCCACTTTCGTTAAACTATTATTTGTTTGTATTCGTTTAATGATAACATTCATTTCTTTTAGATACTTGTGTACAAATGTGTCCAAAATGAAAGTGTTCTAATGTTTTACCACAAAGCATTTAACAGAAACTACCTGCCCACTACCATGAGCTCTCTCTCGGAGGCCCGGAGCCGGATTCGTTGCCAAATGTCCATGGTGAACAGAGTGCTGCTACTGTTGAATATAGAGGTGAGAGAGGACATGAGCGCTGCAATCATTACTGCGATCATCAGACCTCTCAAACCTACAAAACAATGACAGTGAAAGAAAGAGTAGATAAGAATAACAAGAGCAATAGGAATATCAGAGCAACAAGATGTTGAATAGGAACGTAACTGCTAAGTGATGCGCTAATTTAAGAATTAAGAATATAGACGTCGAATATAAAAAGTACTTTGAACTATATGTTTCCATTTCTGATCTTTAAAGTGCCACTCTGCCTCAAAATCATATATTAAGATAAAAGATCTGGACAGGAAACAAGCATACAATAGAGAAATTCTGGCAAAAGTAACATTAACATTTCTTTTCAAAATAGATAAAACCATAGACTTCCGTTGATTTTACATCAGGTTAATGATATACCCATCACAGAAACATGAGCAAACACACACACACATCTTCTTGTCATGAGACGACATTGCTACCAACTGAGCCGCATATTATATATATACACAATTATGATACCATATAATCTATTAAAAAATAGATTAATTGTTAGTTTGTTAACATTTTTGACAAAGGAACATTTCAACTAAATGAAAAACATTGACATACCCACTGGCATGAGCTCCACAACTAACTTTGGGTAAGCAATGTTAGAGCAGCCAACACGGACCCCACAGATCTTCAGACACTCATCAGGATCCACACATCCTACTTCATCTAGAAAATACACAAACATCATCACATTATCCCACGAAAACAGAGATTTCACTTTTAACCAAATGAACGGTGTGGATAATTCATTAAAAGAACATAAACCCCTTGTTATTGGTTTCATAAATGCTTGTAACTTTTTCGAATCTATAGGGCAAATGCAAGGATGACCGAGCGTACTTGGGTAAAGAGCTCTGCTGATCATTCCTGGCATAACAACGAAGAACATAGGGAAGACCTTGAGGTAGCCACCGAGTACCGAACCACCTTTGGCATGGGACAAGTTTTTGGCAGACAGAGACCTTTGCACTATCACCTTCAAACAATAAATAGATGCAATTGCTTGATGTGAAACAGTTTTTAAGCTTAAAAATACATTTGTAACTTACATTGTAAAGTCATAATTCTGTTTCACCTGGTCTGTGCACCACACCCATGTGGCAAGAACCATGAGTCCAAATATCAGGCCTGGCCAAGGAAGGTCTCCTGTCACTGGATCTCTGAAGATATGAAAGGCATCAGACCGAGGAAGATGACAAGTGGTGTTGGGAACCGTGATGTTAGGTACAGCGCTCTCATACTGAACCAGCAAACCCTCATACCATCCAACTTTGTCAAATGCTGCCGAGGAAAATTCATTTAAAATGACTTTCCCAGGTATAATTAATATAATTTACCTTTTACACGAAGGAGGGATCTATACCTATAAACATGAGGACAAATGCTCCAATAACCATGATGACGGTCTGTAAGGCATCAGTGTAGATTACAGCTGTCAGCCCACCTGCATTAAGACAAGCCACGAGTTGCTGCATTTCAACTAGAATCACATTTACACATTAGTTATCTAAAATATTAGTGTGGTTTTATTACCAGCTATAGTATAGAGTGCAGTGACGGCTAGCAGCACAACGGTGGAGACATACAGGTCCCATCCAAGTGACACCTGGATGAATAAAGCCCCTGAAAAAATGTCTGTCTGAAAAGAACACAGTTATGCTTATAATAAACTTTAACATATGCAGTACATTGCTATGCAGCATTGCTTGTTTACTCTTATAGAAGACCATATAGCATACTGTATTGTTGCTCCATGGCGTAGTTATATCATCAAAACATGTTTTATGATAATATATTAGCAGTAGCATAACAGTTTTTTTTCTAATTGTTTCAGATTAGCATTCCTTCCAATGGTTTTTGTTTTTTGTTTGTTTGTTTTATTGTTTTCATGTGTGTATATATATATATATATATATATATATTAGGGCTGTGCAAAAATTAATTGCGATCAATCGCATCCAAAATAAAAGTCTGTGTTTACATAATATATTTGTGTGTGCTGTATATAAATTTTGTATATATGAATACACACACATGCATGTACGTATATATTTAAGAAAATGTGTTATTCATATATAAAATATTTATATCTATGTATTTATAAATATATACAGAATTTAAGCGCAAATAATTCTTAAATATATACATGCATGCATAGGTATTTATATATACAAAATAATTATATACAGCACACACAAATATATTATGTAAACACAGACTTTATTTTGGATGCGATTAATCGCAATTAACTTTTGCACAGCCCTAATATATATATATATATATATATATATATATATATATATATATATATATTTCATTAAATATATAACAAATATTTAATAATTACACATATACTGTATATTTATATTTTAAACAAGGAGTCTTACTGATATCTTGGTGAAAATGTAGAGGATGAGAGACAGCACACTCATGTAGATTCGGATGCGCTGACCCCCGAACCTCTTCCTCAGATACTCTGGCATTGTGACCACACCAGCAGAAATATACACAGGCACAAAAATCCAGCCCAAGGCAATAAGGACCCATGCTGCCTACAGAAAAATCACACTCAAGGTCTGATACAGAGTTTTGTTTCAGCATGTGATGCAATAAAATAGACAACTGCAATCTAACAAGTGAAATCAGTAATTACTGAAACAACACTGAAAGCTTGTAAAACGAGGAATCATTTTTCTGCCATACATTCCACTCAAATCCCCCGACTGCAAGTCCCCCCGCGGCTCCTGTCCCTGCTAATCCAATGAACAGGCCACTGCCTACGTTACTGGACATCAAAGAGGCACCAATCTGTTGAAACACAATAGTGAGAAAACACTCTCAAAACTATGATAACTCAAGCTGAAATATGCATGCCTTCACACTGACTAAACACAAAGTCAGCTGTCAAAATATTACTTATTTAAGTGCAGTATGTATAAGTGTTGTATATATGATTTTATTTTAGTTTCAAACTTTACATTCACTCAATATGTTTACGCGTAATACATTATTTTAAGAGACTTCATTATTTCCCTTTTCCTGGTTGTAATTCCAGACAAAGACTTTGAAAATCAAGATTCTTCCTTGTAGGCTTGCACAAGATAAATATAATATTCCAGCTTTATTATTGCACCGTAAAGACAAAACTCACTGGCCACCATGTCATGGATCGTCCTGCCAAGAAGTATCCTCCCACTGTCCCACGGTTGGCTCTGACTGAGGACTACAAATCAGAAATCTCTAGCATCAAAAATTAGACGCATCAAATTCTCTACATCAATGCAAATGTTGTGTTGCCAGAGAGGCTGCAAACTTTCACTTACCCATATTCCAACTGCCAACACAAACAAAAAGTAGACTACAACCACAGCGATATCAGCAGCCTCTAAAACAAACTTCACAGGCACCTCGGGCTCTGGGGTGCCCGTTACAAGCTCAGGTAAAGCTGGCATTTTCTACAATGCCTGAAGCAAAAGTGTGAACTTTGAAGCAGGTGCTGATTTCATTAATAATTAATCAGCCTGTTTCAGAGAATGCTGAGAATGCACGAGTTACACATTATATGACAGATACACATCACTACATGATGGTGCTGTAAACTAATTTACTTAAAAAAACTAAGTTAAAGCTTACGTTTTTATATTTGAAGACACACATATTCATGGATTGGAAAAATAAATTCTATATATGTATCCTGAATTAATTAAACTCAATAAAAAGATAGAGACTGACTACAAATATTGCAAGATATTTTTTTTTATTGCAGAGTGACTTATAAAAACAAAAGAGTAATTTTGTACATGCGAGACATCATAAATACTACTCAATGTGACATTCAACTGCATCAGTCCATTCATTTCTTCTTCCAGAATTTGCTGTAATCATCAACTTTGAAATCATCCTCAAAATCCTCCAAATTCTGTGTAGCTTCTCTCTTCGGTCCCCTTTTCCGCATCCTGATTTTCCTCTCCTCCTCAGAGAGGGTGGCGATGTCCACGGGCATCTGGCAAAAGAGTAAAAGTCACACACACACCGAAGGTACTTTTCTTTTCTTAAAGCTTGGCTTCATTATGAACAAACCATTGTATAAAAGTTCTTCAAAGAATTTCTTCTTTTGTGTTTCAGAAAAAATAACAGCATAGCAACATGATTTTCATTTTTGCTTGGATATATATAAACCACTAACCATCATTATTCTTTTGGGCTCTTTATATCTGATGTTGATGGTGGACCCGTCAGGTCTCACTAACAGAACTGGATACATCCTCTCATACTTCTGCCTCCCAAAGCGGACCACACAGGTTCTGTTGGAGTTTGACTGAAAGACTGTGGTGTGAAATGTGGATGTGGCTTGCAAACACCTGTGGGCGACAACAGCCTGAAGACACCTGTGCAAAACAATAAAAGGACATTAAACATCTACACATTGCTGAACATCAATGATTACGCTTCAAATTTAGCAAACATTGTAACATTTGATGTCGTTATTATATTCAGGTTTTATGTTATTTGTTAAAGGAAATAATTAAGACACTAAAAATGTTATGTAATGATAACACATATATGTTAAACGAGTAAAATTAGTCGCTTGGCTTCGGATATAACGTATCTTTGATCAACTTGTATGTTTAAACCAAAAATTCATTAAAGGCAATGACTAACGTTACCACACTGTATATCAAAAGACGAGCGAACTCAAGGAATAATCGGTTCACTAACATTACTTACCTAAATAAACTCTTGCAGGGCTGGCCAATTGTATTTAAAGCCATGATGATATTTGCAACCCTGTAAACGCCTATATAGTTAATACCTTCATAAGTGTGAGAAGAAAATACAGTTCGAAATGAAGAAGGTCACCATCAACAAACATGGCATGGATGTGTGTCAGAATAGAATGCTCCCCCTGGAAACTTGTACAGCAGCTTCCAATAGTTCCGCTATCTGTTATCTTTGGATTTTAGTTCACAATTAGAAATAAAACATTTTTTTTCTTATTATGCATAAAATATATTCACGAAATGCCAACTTCTTTCAGAGTTAATAATTAAACCACAATTTAGCATGCAATGTTTAATGAAATAATAATGCATGAAATACAGCCAGTCGTAAAACCGTTGATTTATTCGTAAGTAGTTATTTAATATAAAAAGGTACAGTATACATCAGTAAAAATCTAAAAGCCTCAGTCATTTTCTCCTCATTAAAACAGTTTTGTAACTAAAGAAATGTGTTAAAAGTTGTTTAATTTTACATGAAGCAGCCTCATGGGGGCAGGCTTGTTGAGATCACGCCATCATCATTATCATCATCACATTATCATTTCGGAAACTTCCCGCCAACAATTGGATGCTTGTCTAAATTTAGCTAATAGATTTTAACTCTCTAAACTTGTTTGTCCAATGAAGTAGTGGAAGTGGGAGCCGCTGTCTTCTTATAATATTCTGCCAGTCTGTCTGCCTCTCTGTGTCCTGAGAGAAGAGCTCCTTGCACTGTGCCATAAAGTGTCTTCATCGTTGCCTCACCTGCAAACAAGACCTGAAGATCCTGAAATATATGAAGTGAAAATTTTTTAATAGCCTACTTCATTGCTAAATGACAAAGAGAATCAAAATCAAAGGATGGGCCCTTTTAAAAAAATTTCTAGCTTAAATGAAAACATCATTATTAATTGCCTATACCTAATATATGCAATTCAATAATTCAAATAGCTAACCATTACTAATTTTAATTCAACATAATGGTAGGCAAAAAAATAAAATACAAATATCACATACTTCACCAGGACACCGGCTACCCACTAGGGGTTCTGCCAACGTGTCCATAACTTTCCCATCAACACCAACAGGGAGGAAAGTGTAAGTTCCCTTTACGAACTTGTTGCTACGCCACTTGGTGCTAAGAATAGACTTTGGCTTAGGAATGTTTGAATGTCCTTGGGAATAAAGAAAATATTAAATGATGACAAAAACTTTTTAAGTAAACTTTTTAGAAACTTAATTAATTTTAAGTTGAGAAACTGACATATCATTAAAAAGTAATACAAGTAATGATATGGATATTCCTTTAAAGAGGATTTCTTTACCAAAGAACATTTTGAGATGATCAGTGATAGCAGTTGAGAGTTCATCATCTGTCATGCTTTCAATCAGGTCAGCAATATCTCCTGGACACCAACCACTTAAGATATTACCAAACCTAGAAAAGAGAAAATGAAAGGTTAATAAATGTTACAATGTAAAAATAAAAAAAAAAGTTTTGTCACAATGATTTTTTTTTAATTATTTCTGCTGTTTAGTTTAAATATACAGATTTCTCATATGGTATTTGTACTTGTAAACGTGCAAGAGTTAATTCAACATTAACATAAAAAATGTTAATTTAATGCAACATTAACCTTTCTTTGGGTCTCAGGACAGAAAAGTACTGCAAGTTCTTGAGCCACTGCGCTTTATTGGTGGATACTGAGGCAGGTGTGTCATCCTCATGAATGAGGCTGATAGTACCAACTTCATTCTCCCAGAATGCCTCGTCATACTCCAGAAAGATCTTGGCAATATTGCCAAAGCACAGCTTATCGATGACCTCCATTTTCTCAGTTGGGAGAGTGGGGATGAAGAGGCTGGAAGCTTGAGCTTTTAGACAACCTTCAAACACACACACACACACTTATAAATGTGCCAGTCTCATTTCAGACAGCATGATCATCCTCAAAATACTCAATCCTTATCAACACATACCCAGTGAAATGGTCACTATTACATGATCGGCTAGAATCTCTTCTCCATTCTCACAGACAATGCAAACTGGGTACTGGCGGACTTTTTCATCAGAAGCAGTCGGAGAGGGGGCTACAGAGAAGGTTCCATCCCATTTGATCTTACTAACTTCTCTGTTCAGCAGCAAACAATCCTTAGGGAAGTCCTCCAGTAGTATATCTACAAGCTGAAACATTAAACTGACAGACATATAACTTTTAACACAAAATTAATAATTTACTTTAATTGCAAATTAATGCAGATCATCTTCTAAACTCATCATACCCTGCAACATTGAGAGTGTCACCCATGTTGATATAATACTGCCAGGAGTCAAGAGAGATCCTGTGGAGGTCTGAAGCTCCAACGTCAATCAGCATGTCTTTGCCAACCAAAGAAAAAACACTCTGCGTTCTCGTTTTGTCATCCTCGTCTTGCAAGCTGTCAATCACAACTTGGGTTTTTTCGGCATAGTGTTCACCTAAACTCTTTCCTGTGTTGAAACCACGGTGTTGAATAATGCCCTCCCCAATTTCATAAGCACGTTTGGCGAAGTTTGCATCCACTTTGTGTTCCTTGTTACTGTAAAATGTTTCTGTGCCCATGTCAGGGACCTGGTTTAGAAGGCCAGACTTTTTTAGTAAACAGTAGACAGGGTTTTTATCTGACGCCCCATGGATGTACTGAGCTCCAGTGTCAAGACATGCATTCCCTTTGACATGAAAAAAAGAAAGACAGAGACATATACAGTTAGATATGAATTCAGCATATAATCGAAACACTTCTATATGGCTGCATTAGAGGATCAGAATTTAACCAGGTTTTAGGGCCTGTAAAGTGACAAAAATGCCCCATGTAGCCTATTTAAAATCGGTAGGGTAAAATATCAGATTGAATTTAAAATCATGTGATGCCTACATTCTTTTGACAGCAAAAAAAACAAAATAAAATTAAAAACAGAAAAAAGGACTATTTAATGGAAGTGAAACTAAGTCATGGGTTCATAGATTTCAGTTTCCTGAAACAGTTTCCTCTACTTTTAGCACACAAACCTACTTTTACTTATTTATCACAAGTTAAAACAATGATAAAATAATAAACGTACAGTTAAAATATTATTATTAACAATACATAATTTATTTCATTATTATATTATTGCACAACTTATAAGCCTATAAATGTTCTATATATTAACTTTTTACTATAATACACTTATCATTTGTCACATGTTTAATTTGTGTTGGTATTCAAATGATAATGTAGCTATGCTATACGAGGTATAATGTATTCACCAAGAGTTGCAGAAGCTACTCTTCCTCCGACCTTCTCGGAGGCTTCCAGCACCGTGACGTCATTAAACCCGTATTCTTTTAGCTTCTTGGCTGCAGAGAGTCCAGCCACACCAGCACCAACCACCACGATGCATGGGTTTCTGAGTGCCATGTCTATAATATTGAAGAAGATATTACGTTAACCACACTGCAGCTTTACAAGATGCATTACTAGACAGTACATTGTATTCCTATCACAAGCAGATTTTTTTTTTAGCTTTTTGAATTAATTTGTAGGTTTAGACGAAATATAAAGTTAAAGTTAGCTATAACGAAATAGCTATAACGAAATCTTTACTTACTTGTATTTGTAACTGCGCTAAATGCTGACTATCCACCTTTTACTTGCATTGCTTTAGTTCCACTTCCTGTTTTCCTGCCATGACTTCATTTCGATTTAGAGGCGGTGTTTTATTTTGTTCTGACTTGAAGAACAAAATGTCTTGACGCATTGTGAAGCGTCAGAAGGTCTGAA